AGACTCGAAATGTACCTTAGATGTAACAATGGCGACCTCATGTACACCATCAAGCACATCAAAGGTCTAATGAAAGATGTTGCATTACTCCACATCCATCAAGAAGCTCTCCACTCACCAATACCAGTTTTTCAACAACCCGCACCACCATCAAAGGCATCCAACACAACCAACATACCAAATTTTCCCACCTTTTCACAACACCTATTTTATTCCACTTCCCTGCAGAGCCTACATTTACTCGTGCAAGAGTTATCACTTCCATCCACGACGAAAAAATAAAATGGAAATGAAGGAAAGGCGAAGGAAGAGACGTGAATAAAGAAAATGGAACTTCACGGTGAAGCAGGAAACGGCATAGTTGACATTTAATAATTATGTCTAAGACTATATTACATTTCGAAATATAGATTATTTTGCACGCAAAATTTTATTTTATTTATATACCGGAATTACACTTATTTATGCTTGGAAAACAAAAGTTTATTTTTTCGATATAGTTTAGATTCTCTACGGTATAATCGTGTTAATAGAAGTACTTAGATAAAACTAATAATAAGTAATAAGTCACTTATAGAGCATTTTAAAAACTATTGAAAACATTTTCAATGTTTTTATTTACCATATATTTATTTCTTATTGTAAATTTTATTTATTATTTTATTGCAATATATTATTAAACTATTTCAGCACAATTTTCCATTTGTTCATGTCAGTCATAAAAGTGAGAGCAATCAACGTAAACAGACTTGTTCCTGCATGATTTTCCACCAACTGTAAGCATTCCTTCAGTACTGCTTTTACTCTACTTATAAATTATACTCGTCCAAATGGATACAGAGAAGAACACAAAATATGAAATATCTTATGTGAGCTCCAAATTTTCTTTCTAATCTTATAACGTTTCGATTGTTCACTTTGAGTAATTTTCAATAAAAAAAAACAATGATTTCACATATATTTATGTATCTTTTAATTTACCATAAAGTTCAGTTATACAGAGATATCTTTTCAAAAAGAATTGCCGACGCAGTTTTGTATTTGTTTCTCAAATTTCAGACATTTGTCAAATTTCAGACATTTGTAAATGTTTCTCAAATTTCAGACATTTGTCAAATTATTTCCAGAACAGATTTTTCTTTACGCTAATTAAAAGTAGCAGATTTTATCAGCTGTACTGCACATACCTTAACCAAATACCAAATTCGTTTCCAGTGGATAGTTTATACACCACTTAGTCAAAGAAATTGTGTCATTTATCATTGTTTATATTGCTGATATGAGCGATATATCAAACCGATAGTGACACCTTGCTCTTAAAAAATTTTTACATTTTTCCTTTGTAATCAGCGCTGACTTTGCAGAGCTTTAAATGGGCTGATATCTTATAAAATGACAAAGACTTTATTACAGTCTTAGACTTTTCTTTTTCAAATCACTCATGTTTTTGGTCTTTTTCTTTCAAGTTCAAAAATGGTTTGTTAGCATGAAGGCTTTCTCTGCTGCTTATCAAATTATCAATTTCTAATGAAGGTGACCAAAAGCAATAAAATTTGCAAGCACCAGATTGTACATGCAGTTGTCATGGCAATGTCATAACAAACAATTTGATCAAAAACCAATTCCGTCAAGTATCCAGCTGCTCGTAAAAATATTCCCCAACATTTTTCCTGATAGACTCGAAATGTACCTTAGATGTAACAATGGCGACCTCATGTACACCATCAAGCACATCAAAGGTCTAATGAAAGAGGTTGCATTACTTCCACATCCATCAAGAAGCTCTCCACTCACCAATACCAGTTTTTTTCAACAACCGCACCACCATCAAAGGCATCCAACACAACCAACATACCAAATTTTCCACCTTTTCACAACACCTATTTTATTCCACTTCTGGCGAGCCCTACATTTACTCGTGCAAGAGTTATCACTTCCATCCACGACGAAAAAAATAAAAATGGAAATGAAGGAAAGGCGAAGGAAGCGAGACGTGAATAAAGAAAATGGAACTTCACGGTGAAGCAGGAAACGGCATAGTTGACATTTAATAATTATGTCTAAGACTATATTACATTTCGAAATATAGATTATTTTGCACGCAAAATTTTATTTTATTTATATACCGGAATTACACTTATTTATGCTTGGAAAACAAAAGTTTATTTTTTCGATATAGTTTAGATTCTCTACGGTATAATCGTGTTAATAGAAGTACTTAGATAAAACTAATAATAAGTAATAAGTCACTTATAGAGCATTTTAAAAACTATTGAAAACATTTTCAATGTTTTTATTTACCATATATTTATTTCTTATTGTAAATTTTATTTATTATTTTATTGCAATATATTATTAAACTATTTCAGCACAATTTTCCATTTGTTCATGTCAGTCATAAAAAGTGAGAGCAATCAACGTAAACAGACTTGTTCCTGCATGATTTTCCACCAACTGTAAGCATTCCTTCAGTACTGCTTTTACTCTACTTATAAATTATACTCGTCCAAATGGATACAGAGAAGAACACAAAATATGAAATATCTTATGTGAGCTCCAAATTTTCTTTCTAATCTTATAACGTTTCGATTGTTCACTTTGAGTAATTTTCAATAAAAAAAAACAATGATTTCACATATATTTATGTATCTTTTAATTTACCATAAAGTTCAGTTATACAGAGATATCTTTTCAAAAAGAATTGCCGACGCAGTTTTGTATTTGTTTCTCAAATTTCAGACATTTGTCAAATTTCAGACATTTGTAAATGTTTCTCAAATTTCAGACATTTGTCAAATTATTTCCAGAACAGATTTTTCTTTACGCTAATTAAAAGTAGCAGATTTTATCAGCTGTACTGCACATACCTTAACCAAATACCAAATTCGTTTCCAGTGGATAGTTTATACACCACTTAGTCAAAGAAATTGTGTCATTTATCATTGTTTATATTGCTGATATGAGCGATATATCAAACCGATAGTGACACCTTGCTCTTAAAAAATTTTTACATTTTTCCTTTGTAATCAGCGCTGACTTTGCAGAGCTTTAAATGGGCTGATATCTTATAAAATGACAAAGACTTTATTACAGTCTTAGACTTTTCTTTTTCAAATCACTCATGTTTTTGGTCTTTTTCTTTCAAGTTCAAAAATGGTTTGTTAGCATGAAGGCTTTCTCTGCTGCTTATCAAATTATCAATTTCTAATGAAGGTGACCAAAAGCAATAAAATTTGCAAGCACCAGATTGTACATGCAGTTGTCATGGCAATGTCATAACAAACAATTTGATATAACGCAGAAAGATACATGCAGAGTAAACAAAAGTGACAAATACTTGAAATTTTTCAGCATAAATGACTTCCTATTTGTATTACAACTTTATGCAATTAAAATACTTTGTATAATACATTTGATAGTTTTTAAGATCCACTCTATTATACTACAGCAAGGAAATTTGTACAACATGGCTTGTATTCCATGCATGTAAGCAAAAAAATCGTCTTTGCTCTCCACCCTAAAACTTGCTACAAAATTTTTTAAATAATATTTTCAGTGAGATATGCCATCATGTTTTTACAAAGTGTTCACAGAACGGAAAGGTTTCCAATGAGATTATATAAGATCCTTTAAAAGATTTCTTGTTTTTTAGTTACTTATATCTATAATAACAATCATATAATATGCGATAAATTATAATAGTCCGTAAAGACCACAGTACGAAATATAGTACAAAACTAAGGAAATTTAATGTAAATGAAGTAATACATGTATGCTACATTTTCTCTCTAAAACGCCGGAATATAAACGTGAATACAGCTTTTGATTAGTACGTCCTACCACAGGTTCTGTAATCCAAATATTTGTGTACGCCTATAGTAAAATAAGTCATTTTATAAAGAAAGAAATGATAATAAAGATAGTTTCGGATATTAAGAATTCTAGGCAAATTTAGTGGCCATGCAGCTTAGTTTTTGTTAAAGATAACAGATTTTACTCAAATAAATTATAGCACAATAGCATTCTTTTAAATTTAGGCTACACTTCGCAATTCTTTATGTATTTAGTCTACAAACAACGTTCATTAGGTCTTCTTTAGTGGATGTGAGCCATCAAACATTTACTCCAAGACAAAAGCGCGAATAAGAAAACATTTCCTATTGCCTTGGACAGAAAATAGCAAGAGGAAAAAGAGGTGCGATGTCTTTTGTAACTATATCCACACAAAACCGGAACAACATATTATGATTCTACTTAGACTAAAAAAAACACCAAAATATCATGAAATGAAGTTCATCAATATGATATATTACATTTAGCTTTATTCAGCTTAAGAGTATACTTGTTTCGAGCCACTTAAGCAAGAAATTGTTGTATAGTATTTGTCATTCGTGTGCTATTTAAGCGCACGCGTAGAAGGTTAACTATGTCCATTCAACGGAAGAATGTTTGTCTTATTGATGTAAATAACTTCCTTTTTACTTTCTTTTTTTAGCAACGACTTACCACCTGTGCAAGACTGAATTTAAAACCGACTATGATTTATCCATTACAATTGTTACTTTTGAATACAGTGCAATAAGGTAGACAGTGCAATAAAGAAGACATGGTGTGTCACAAAGTCATTTTAAAGTCTATCTTTAAGATCTTTTGATTATTCTCCTCTCACCTGGTGATAGGGTGGTTTACTTTTCTCTTCTGTCATGGTGTAAGTAATTTGACACATCAACCAGCATTAATTTTATCATGAATAATATGCTAATTTTAGTGATATAGACAATGCATTAGCCAATGAAATAGACAATGAAATGCTGCTGACGCCAATACGTCATCGTACTTACACTATTTGCATATCATTCATCAGTTTTGATTTGTTCGTTTGTAGTCATTCTTTATCGTGACGCGCTTAGAGGCTTATCAAGGTTTTATTACAAAAAAATGCCAAAAATTCAGAGCAAAGTCAGAATCAAGAGAAGGAGTCCTCCCAAATGTAGGAGATGCCGAAATCACGGAATATCCGTTAATGTCAAAGGACATAAACAAGACTGTGTTTATAAAGATTGCCAGTGCAATTTATGTAAGAATACTGAAGAAGAAAGACGTCAGACGGCTGCAAGAATAGCAATATTTAGAGAAAGCAAACGCTTATTCGAATCAGATGGTATGTTTTACAACAATCTATACTTTCTTGTTAAATGTTTAACTGATACAATATTTGATTCTCCCAATAATTCCTGCACTATATGCGATGTTTGTTTGGTGAAATAAAAATCATTTCGTCCAACTAAACAAGTTTTATTTTCTTATGTTCAATTTCACTAAAGTGATCTTAGCTACAAACTGTTTTTTCACACATCACTACGATAAACAATATCTTTCAAAAACTATTTGTGTGAAAAATGATCTGATTCACTTGAATGGCATTATCGTCTAGAAAAATGAAACATGTGTTAGAAGCATTAGTTACGAAAGTCATTTACGTTGTCCTTTCTGTCATTGGCGTAACCTATTCTGAACAAATGTCACCGCTATAGAAAATTACCATTCTTCATTTTATAGAACTTTTATCATTTTGAAATGAGTAAAACTAAAAATATTTTCAGTGTTACAACAACCACCACTTCGCCAATAAATAGCACTTTTAGTATCTATTTTCGTTTACCGCGTGGTAGAAACATCGCGTCCGTCGGAGAAATGTTTGCGTTGAATCATTCTGTGTGCGTGGCATTGTGAGGAAAAATTCACATGCTGAAAAGACAGCAACATTTACCACTTCTTGCATTGAGTCAATACATTACAATTGTTTGTTTGGCCATGGCAAGCTCTTTGGCATTGGGAACTAATACAAATGAACTGAATCACTATTTTCATATTATTTCTTCAAGTTTGGATAGCAAGAATCGTTTTAACAACGTTTCGGCCACCGTTTCGGTCTACATAATTCAGACGGGCTTATACTTTACCAGAATGCTTTTGCATGGGAGTGTTATTCTAACCGATTAAAAATTATATAATTATGTGTTCACATTATATGGTCACTTATGATTTTGCGCAACGTATAGTTTGGGTTTTAATTTTGCGCCAAATATGTATAACATTTTCCAATTGTAGAAACCTAGATTGTACAGGTTTAACACCAAAAAGTGCCTAGAGCGTAAGTTAATGAAATTATTTACTGAACGAAGATACGTTTACATTTATATGTTTCTACAAGACCACGCTATCAAACAAAGAACTGAAACAATATAAAGTTGATAAATTTGATTTTTCTTATTTAACACTTTTGACGTTGGCAAAGAAAATATAGTTATTTTAACAACTTTTACTCAATTTTATCTTAAACACTGTGCACTGTAAACACTGTATGAAATGTCGCTTTTGAAATGGAGTCAGAATATCACCAGTCGTAGAACTACGTTTTCATGTATGTTTCTATAAATACTAAGAGCTCTAATGCATGATTTTCCAGATGACTATTACGTTGGAATATGTTTCATTATACAACATAACCAAACCGGGCTTCAGTTTTGAGCAAAAATATTATAACCACTAATTTGAAATTAAAATACGTTTATAACAAAGTTATTGATTATGAATTTCTCAAGATAAACATCAAGAAATGTATGTGTTGAATGAAAACAGTTAATGACAATACTATCTCAGCAATCGTATAAACCGCTATTGTTCATAAACTGCTGTTCACAGTCAGGATTACTAGACGCGAAAATCTTCTTTGTTATAAGCCTTTTATGAACAATAGGTCAATTTCTAAAGCGTAAACGTTTTACTTATGACTAATATCTGCTTCCTGAGATCATATAAAGTTTAAAAGTTATAGTCTCGATTTTATTCCTCTAAACGTTTCATAAGATTGGTGTTTTAAACCTTTTTTTATCTAATTTTCCATTTTGAGTTTTTTTTTGCCACTTTTAAAGTGCTCGGCTACAAAAGTGCTCTGGTATAGAAAATGTTTAGCTTGTATTTTTATGAGTACCGATAATATCAGGCGAGTCTGGCCTGGCTAATGAATACAATGAAATATTCGATACTTGCAATGACTCAAGGCTCGAAGATTAAACCTCTCATTTAATCGCAACTTGCACAAAATCAACGGCAATAAGTTGATTAAGGTCCTATCAAAAGGTTATTGAGAGGATAGTGAGAACAAAACTATAGTTGAACATTATTGTCTTCTCAATATTATCTATCTGTATCAATGTATGAAATTGAATGTGTTAACTTTGTGAAATTTTGTCACTAGGTGTAAGGTTAATATCATATGCCTACGTGTTTGACAAAATTCGGATGCGTAAAACAAACAATCACGTGACACAAAATTTAATTATCAATTTGTGATTTTGTCTTTTATAGACGAATTGCAAGAGCCACACATTAAAAAAAAGGAAAAAATGCCAAAACAAAATGGAAAAAGACAATCTTCTTACAGCCAATCCACTCACGAAGTTGTAGCTGATTTACAATCCAAAATCATCCAAAATGGACAAAATTCAAAACCAATTCCCTCAAATATCCAGCTGCTCCTAAAAATATTTCCAAACATTTTTCCTGATAGACTCGAAATGTTCCTTCAACGTAACAATGGCGACCTCATGTATACCATCAAGTACATCGACGTTCTAATGAAAGATGCTGCATTAATTCCACAACCATCAAGAATCTTTCCACACACCAATACCCGTTCTTTTAACAACACGCACCTCTATCAAAGGCATCCAACACAACCAACATACCCGGTTTTCCCACCTCTTCACAACATCTATTTCACCCCATTTCCCCTGCGAGCCCCTACATTTACTCGTACAAGAGTTATCACTTCCATCCACGACGAGAAAAATGAAAACGGAAATGAAGGAAAGGCCAAGGAAACGATACATGAATAAAGAAAATGGAAAGTAAGTTCATGGTGAAAGAGGAAACGGCATCGTTAACATTTGATAACTTTTTCTAAAACTATGTTACATTTAGAAAGTAAAGATCATTTTGCACGCGGAATTTTATTTCATTGACATACGGGAATTATAATCTTTTATTTATGCATGCAAAACAAAGTTTATTTTCTTCATATTGTTCGGGTTCACTACGGTATAATAGTGTTGATGCATGTACTTAGATAAATCTAATAAGAAGTAATAAAGTCACTTATAGAGCAATTTAAAAACTATTGAAAGCATTTTCAATGTTTTCATTTACCATATATGTATTTCTTATTGTAAATTATATTTATTATTTTATTGCAATATATTATTAAACTATTTCAGCACAATTTTCTATTACTTGATATCATTCATAAAAAGTTGTTCCTGCATGATTTTCCACCAACTGTAAGCTTTCCGTCAGTACTGCTTTTACTCTACTTATGAATTAGACTCGTCCAAATGGATACAGAGAAAAACAAAAAATATGAAATATCTTCTTCCCAACTGATGTATTTTGAAGATATCGCAGTAGTTTGTCAAACACGCAACATAGGAAAACACTTACTTCCCAGCACGTCAGTGCTCTTTACGTAGACTTTTGGACAAAAATTATCTCACCGAATTTCCAAACCATTTTTCTGTTGAATGAAACTCTCATCAATTCAACCAAAACGATTCAATAAGGAATCTTATTTTGTGCTAACTGAATCATGTCATACAGTATGGTCTCAAATAAGACATTTACAAATCACTAATCATGTACATATCATGTCTACGAATTTGATTATAAAAACAAGAAGTTGCATAGACTTTGAAACAAAATAATAAACATCGCTTATGCATTTATGTCACGGTAAGTATAAAGCAAAATTTCATTCTGAGAAAGTTTTCCAAATATGATATTATAACTTGTGAAGTGTCACCAGAAACTATAAGTTAAAACATACATATTTAAAAACATCACTGTATTTGCCTCGGATTAAGGTATGAATCACTTGAGCTCTGATTGTTGTCGAGTTCTCCCATAGATCTCCTCGGCTTGCAAAAGACTGTACAAACACAGTAAACAACTTTTATTTCTTAATTTGAGATAAAACACGATAGTTATAGTTGGCAAGGATGAAAAAAATGAATGTCTCTCTAAATTCATAAAAAAAAATTTTGTTTATAGTAAATTTTGTTCAATTCGAATTAAAGTCCAACAAATAGGCCCCGTAATTAGTCTCCCACTAAAGTTGCATTGCCCCCGTTTATCATCGATCTTCCTACGTCCATGCCTTTGTGTGAAACAAAATGACTTCAAAAAACTTTTTTATAGTAATCACCAATCAGTGACTTAGCTGGAAATTTTCTCCTGCTGTGCAAGTTTTTCTGCGTTCACAAATTGCAAAAACAAAAGATTTCATAAAAATGAAAAATGATTATTCTCTGACATTTACAAAGCAGAAACAAAATTTGCGGGGATGGCTACAACACTTATTGTAATTATTTATTATTTTGAAAAAGAAGATATTAGGTACACTAGTTGTAATAGTTGTATAGTATAGTAAAAGAGGTTAATTAATTACCGAGAGTAACCGATAATTATTAGATTGTATCTAGAGTCATACAGAATCAATTGAGGGCTTATTCCAGGATCTCATAGATATTTAGGTCAGTGCAGGTCAGTACTGGACAGTCTGCACGACAGTCTTCAGCTTCCCTCACTGATCATGACTCCTCTTGAGAAATCCACCTGACAGAACGTTTAAAGTTTACAAACTTTGTGCCATTTGTACCATGGTTGATGGTAGATTATGTAAACCAGTAAGCTAAGATACATTGTTGTATAATAAATTCACTTATTGCTTTTGTTAATGGCTGCCAATGAATCTCCGATACAGTCTGTGGCAACTCGTTCCTTTGATTCGGACGAAAGTGATAAAAGTAACTCCTCCTCACAAACTTGTGATCATCAAATACCATATCGCCGAGGAGAAGCTGCTATTAAGGCACAGTAAGTGAGACCGATTGTAAGTTTGTAATATCCCATCCTAAAGTTTCTCACATGGCATAAAGAATAATACAAAATACTGACTTTTGAGTACATCGTCTTTTTAGGTATCTACTTCCTTATCAACTTTTTAAATGCGAAGAGGTTGTTGAAAAAGATGATTTATTGACAAATGCAACTCAAGCAAGCAATGAAATTGTGAATGAAAATGAGGATGAACCACCCACAAGAAACGCCAAAGGGCATGAACAAGAAAAGACCAAGGAATCCTAATCCCTTGGCAAAAGATAAGATTTGCTTGCAGTTTTTAGATGGCAAGTGTAAATTTGGAGATAAATGCTACTATTCTCATGACTTACAGATCTTAATAAAACATCGTCAGCCAGATATTCCTGGAAAGTGCAGAAACTTTGAGCTGTATGGAAATTGTCCTTACAGCATTACATGTAGATTTGGCAAACAGCATCTCACTGAGGATTTTATAAATGTTACAAGAGAATGTTGCAATGGATCATACAATGATCAAATCATGAATATTTTAAGTAAATCTTTGCAAGTTAAACTAAGGAAAAACAATTTTATTTCCCAAATCTGATGATTACATAAAGCAGATAAAAGAATCAAAGGTACAATCTCAAGATAATGATCAAACTGTACAGACTTTGGGAGCTTTCACAAATGAGAATGTGATAATGTATGAAGCCTGCAGAAAAGAAGAAGGTAAATTCTCAAGTGAATTCTTGCATATTCAATTAGTGGCTGATTGAACAATGCAGATGTTTCCTTGAGATGCTGGAGTGAACAACCATTATAGAGCATATCGTAGTCAAAATTAAAGAAATATGTCATTGTTGGATAGGTCATCACTGACTGTAGGTTTTTTAAATGTCTATAAATGTTAAGCTCTACACTGCAATGTCTTATCTTCCAGTCATAGAGTTAATTTGTTTTGTCAATAAAACTATTCATTGATATTTTGTAATTGATAATTTAGATTGATTTCTCTGGCAAGTTATATTTGGCTCCCCTTACAACAGTAAGTGGCTGATCCTTTATAAATTTTTTACCGGTACATTATTATTATAAATTATACCGGTACATAAATATTGCAGATTGGTCCTCGACAAACCTCATTTTTAGCAATTTATTTTTTCATGTTGGCTAGTGTCCAAGTGCTAAGTTGTCATGTTCAATTAAGTGACATCATGAAAAATCATTTTTTTACATGCTTATCACATGACAATGTACATTATGAATTTTTAGGTACATATAACATGACTTTTTTGTGCAAATTGTTAATTCATACCTTTGATTAAGAGAAATGACATATTTCATTGACAAATTCTATTTGGTATCATCATATGTCATGGGCGTCTTATGGTTGTACTTAACATCTTGTACATTCAATTCTGTGAATGATGGATATTTTTCAATATTTGTGGTATGACAGGTTGGTAATTTACCCTTCAGAAGATTATGCAAGTCTCATGGAGCAGATGTTACATGTGGTGAAATGGCTATGTGTACTAAACTTCTCCAGGTTTGTGATTATGTATATTGTACATATGGGTGAAGTAAGTTTAACTGCTACACATCTTGTTTTATTCACTTAGGTTATTTTTTTGTTGTCCAGATTATTCAGTTATTTTTTCTCCATATGCATAGGTATATATGTAAACTTACTGTACATATTCAATAAGTTGTATGTTATTGTATTTACTTACATCAGTTTCTTTGTATAGAAGTGCAACTTTGGTGAATTGTCGGATTTCTTTGGTTTTAAAAGTTTTGGCTGTTTGTTATATCAACAGACCATAATTTTGAATAATGAATTTTTTGTATTTCTATTTCTATGTAGGTCGGTAAAATCATTCTTTCACTAACACTTTATAAGATGTATTAATGCCGTCCCTAAGATAAAAATAAACAAAAAACAGTGCATATCATTGACAAATATGACCAAATCACGTTTTAGCAAGTAATAATATACATGAAAAAATTTCTCATTTTTGATTGGTTTGGAGGAGTCTAATTTATCGTAGATACCAGTGCAAAAATAGGAAACAAAGTGCAAAAAAAAGAAATACAGTGCAATTTATTTTTGAAAACTGTGCTCCTGATTGGTTAGTAAGACAAAGAAGTAATCTAAGAGCCAATCATTATACAACCATTCGCAGGCGGGAAAATTATATGAATTGCTTATGTTGTATGAATGTTATCAAACTTCTGAAATCACCGGTTGACAGAAAAATTGTTCATTGTAATAATTAGTTTCTAGTTGTACTTAATGCATAGAAGATAACTGGTCTGTTTTTAGGGTACGCTTTCCGAGTGGGCCTTAATAAAGCGCCACTCATGTGAAGATATATTTGGTGTCCAGGTAAGGTTTATGTTTTTTAACGTAATGTATTGAAAAAGACCTATACATTTCATATACAATCTACTTATTTTCGTCTGCGTGCTTTTCCGTTGAAACTAGGACAACGAACATAACAAGCTCTAGCTATATTCTCTATTTATTTCACGTTGATTTGTCCTTTTCTTCAGCTCTGTGGAAGCTTTCCCGATACTATGAGTAAATGCGCCGAACTATTGCAAGACCAGGCTGAAATTGATTTTATTGATGTTAATGTTGGATGTCCCATCGATCTGGTCTTTAATAAGGTAAGCAATTTGTTGACAAACGTGAGGATTTGCTTTTCATTCATTTATTGTTCAGATAATCATATATCATAGAATAGGAATTGTTTTCAATACATGACCAGAAGTGTTGTGTTGCATTTGTATCCCGCAAATTACTTTTCTTTTAAAATATTTGATGTCCAATCTTCTTGCTTTTTAGCTTTGAAATCGTTAATTTTAGCTATGCAGTAGTGAGGATAATTATAAGTTTTCTTCATAAAAATTCCACCAGTGCTTACGTGTATATAATGTATAGTTTTGTTTACTTTTAAAATATCAAATAAAATTATTCTGTAGGGAGCGGGTTCTGCTTTGATGGAAAGATCAAGACGCTTTGGAGAAATCGTTTGTGCAATGAACCACGTAATGATTTGATTTTACTATGTTTAACCTCATGATCTTCCTCAAAATTTGCTTCTTTTGTTTAAAAATGGTTTGCACTTAGTAATAATCTTTCTCTCACTATTTCAACAATATTTTAGTGCATGTATGTTGTTTTCTGTAAGTATTTTGTGAAATTGTTTTCGATTGTGTGAAATTTTTAGGTCTTGGATATTCCTCTTACTGTAAAAATGAGAACAGGCGTTCATGATAAAAAGTGGAATGCTCTTCAACTTATTCCTAAAATCAGAAATTGGGGAGCCTCCCTTGTGACTGTATGTATTTCTCCAAAGTTTATCATTGAATAAATATTTTATTTTTCAACACATATATTATTATTGAATACTGATAGCGTTCTGCTCTTTAAAGATTGGTAAAAAATAACTAGGTTTTCACTTTCCATTAAAAGCTAAAGCAAAGACATTTTTTAAAAATAATGTTGTAATGATACTAAAGCCTTTAGTATGATTAAACTTGAATTAAAAGGGAAATCTTGCAGAAATTTTTTACAGTATTTTTTTGCTTTAGTTACATGGTAGATCACGTGAACAACGCTATACTAAGTCAGCAGATTGGAATTATATACATCAGTGTGCTCAAGCCGCTTCCCCAATGCCTTTGTTTGGTTGGTCATTGCATTGATTCTTTTAAATTTTTATGTAGTAGCTATGTTTTACTTTTGCATGAAAACTTATTGAAAAAAATTATTTCAAAATTTGATTATTGTTTTGTACACTAGCTTAACTGTTTTTTCTAAATCCACAGGAAATGGGGACATTTTTTCATTTGAGGATGTGGAGCGACACAGACAGGAAACTGGAGTTTCTGGAGTCATGATAGCAAGGTAGCTAACTTTAGATTTGTTTGTATTTTTTGAATCTTTACTGTTTTAAGTATATTTTTTCTTTTGTAGAGGGGCTCTGATAAAACCGTGGATTTTCACGGAAATTAAAGAAAAAAGGTGTGAAACTACAATATATGTACAACAATATGTTTATGGTATTGTATTATATTCTTCGTTTGAAATCATTGAATATTTTTTTAGATAAGCATGTTGTTTGTGCCTTGTATCTCATTTATCTTGTCAAACATAAACTTTAGACATTGGGATATATCCTCAACAGAGCGATTAGATATTGTCAAAGAATACGTGAACTACGGTTTAGAGCACTGGGGATCTGATACCGAGGTAAAATCACAACACTTCTTTTTCCATTTTTCCTTACGTGTTAATTGCCATTTACGTATTTTTACATTCTTTTTTCTGTGTGAAACACACTGTCATATTTTGTTGTAATGTAGGGTGTTGAAAGGACAAGGCGTTTTCTTTTAGAATGGTTATCATTCCTATACAGGCAAGTAATTTGCTTGACATACTAACGCAGGTATTACGTAAGTAATCGAAACGAATCTATTTTTTGTCAACGTATGGTATGGCGAATGGCAATTCATCAGGGACCACAGAGGAAGATCTATAATAATGGGGGTGGGTCACATTTATATATTTAAATGCTTCAATATGAAATAAAAATTCATTTTATTAGAAACTAATAAAGTAGAACATACATATTTTAATATTGCTCATCCCTGTCCCATTATCTTCTGTGGTCCCTGTTTATTGATCATTGCGAGTATTTTCACGTTGCAATTAATGATGAATTTTTGATGACACGAGAAAATATCCTACGCCGTTTTAAATAAAGTTGAAATTGTATCAATCATAATCATGTGATCAATATTCCAGTTTGTATGTGTGAGTACTGTGCTTATTTTGCTTCAACATTTTTATCCTGTGCAATACTTACTAACCTTTGTAATTTTGTATTTTTCATTAAATGAAGAAAATACAGGTTGTTAGAAAATTCCTGTTTTTAAATACGATACATAAATTATTAACGTAGATATATATTCCGTTGGATTACTTGAGAGACTACCACAACAAATCAATGAAAGACCTCCACCGTATTTTGGACGAAATGATTTGGAAACACTGTTCGCGAGCAATAAGTGTGAAGATTGGGTAAAAATAAGGTAAATATTATCTTCTTGGTTTCCTTGGGTTTCATTATGTAAACAGGTCTTCTTTTTTACGATTTTTTTCAACTTTAATCAGGAATTGACAGTATGAAAATGATCTCAACATTTGTAGCCCAATTAAGTTATTGCATCAAAATCTGCAAAATCCTTTGATGGAATAGGTAGTTGGACTTCCAATGGATCGTCTGATAGTGAAATTTTCGCAAGTAATAGCTATTTGATTGAGAATTGTGTGACCGAGAAACACTTTTGAAATAGCTTGCATGAAAATGACAAAATGGAAACGCAATTGGAAAACAATGGGTTAAAATGGGGCACATGTTGTCAAAGACAAACCTTCGGGAAATTTAGCCAAACCGTGCATTAACGCTAGGCATCAAAATTTTGGATTATTTTCCGTTTTCCTTTTCAATTCCCATTTTCTAAAAGTTCATCAATTATTCATGTTTGATACCTTTCGCTCACATTTATACATAATTGTTGTGAAGCGAAGGGAGAGGTGTGGTGTAAAGGGGGGGATGTGAAACGGACTGGCGAGTGCGAATTATATCGTTTGCTAAATGTAAAAATATTGGTTGAAAATCAAGCGCGTTAGAAAAAGAGGAGAACTTCTTTTTCATTTTTTTATGATATGTAAATAAAGATCAAATACTGATAAAATATTAATTCAACTGTCTTTCTTTAGACTTTCAATCATTGTGTTTTTATCTTTGTTACAGTGAAATGTTCCTTGGACCCGTTCCGTCTGATTTTCAATTTCTTCCAAAACACAAAGCGAATTCTTACTCTTAAAATGGAAACCTCTTAAGAATTCATGGCTGTGGAACGTTGAATTATTCCTTAGTAGATGTGGTAGAGAACGTTGATGGATATGATTGTAAATAGTTAAGCATCATTTTGCCATGTGTGAAATGATAAACACAAAACCTAATAATCTTTTTGCGTGTACATTTGTAGTTCGCAATTTTTCGCCACAGATATTCTTTGAAATTATTCATTAAGTGTAACCAGGTGTAGACTCTAGACATAATGATAGAATAAATGTTCCCTGTTTTGTTTTAATTTCATAGATTTTTCGCATGAGAAAATCAATGAAAGAAGAGAGAAAAATCAATAAAATTTAAAAGAACAGAGAACGTTACTTTGATTCAATGCTGTTTGTCCATGGCACCTTGGCCACTCTGGTGATGTATCCATGAGCTGAGTACAGACCAGTGGACACAACTTTAAAACGGACTTTTGGGGGGTGGGAGTTTGACCATGGTCGAAATGAATTTTTCATTTTGAAAATTAATGTTAGCGTAAAAAGGTTTTAATGCGGGTCGAGCCCGTAGTAAAAAGGCGTTTTGTTTAGTTTTGTGCATTCCGTCTGTTTGAACAAATATGTCCTTTGCTGACGAAAAGGGAAATAAATCAAAGTGTAAACCGACATTGGACAACGTTGCATTTGAGTGTGATCGTTCTTCGATATAATTTTTCTGTTTCTACTACACATGTACCTATATATCTATTACAGTATGATGTATATAAACAACCAGGTTTCTATGAGGCAGTCGACTCTCTTAACTTCTATCAGCAGATGTATTGCGTTCATGTATATTGTATAGAGTTTAGACTTGGTATTGAGTTGCAACCATGAGTAAACCTGTGCGATTGTATTATCCATTACTCACATCCGCTTTGCCATACCGGAAGTATATGTTTTGGGTTTGTTGTCATGTCTAAATGTTATGCAGAAATAGAATATATAACACATTGATATCCAGAAGTTATACATAGGCAATCAACAATCTTCAAAATAAGTTAACGGCTTAATTTTAGAAAAATATTAGGCCAGAAATAAATCTATCAGAGATCTTCGTTACTTGGGTCAGGTAATATGTGAGTATTTATTTTAAAAGTTGTTTCGTTTGTATTCGAATCGTAGTTAACACACGTTTTAAAAGCTTTCATATCCTCCCTTTTTGTTCTACTGTTTTCGATACATTTACTAGCATATTGGCTGAGATATATTGTCCAGCTAACAATGATATGCTATTAGTAAACCTTGTTGGTCTTTGTGGCAGGCACTGTCTTGGCGTCATTTTTTGCTGATCGTGAGAAATATGTATAGGTTGTATTATCAGTGAAGTCAGTTTAAGTGATTAAACTGAACATGGGTCATTGATTTTCAACTAAGGATATTTTTCAATCGAGCTAAAAGGAAAAATGTAGATGTGATGTTTGGTATATTATGAAGTACTGTGTATGACAATCTCTTGTCATTTTATTAAGTTAAAACCAGTCTTACGAAAGAATTTCGAGGAGATAAGTTATTATTCATCAGATAGCCATCAAGCAATAACTATTCCTTGTTGTGTTTACATCAGTGGGTCTGAGTGGGATGATAAACCATTTCTAAATTCTCCAGACTATGTCATACCTAATCCCTACTCTAATACTGGTATTTATTTTGCCTCAACCAAATATAACGGTACGTATGCTGATAAAATTAACAGATGTGACGAAGGCTGCCTTCTGTTGTTCGTTCTGTTTTAGTTTGCCATCTTGCTCATAAATATAAACTTTCACGAGTTGTAGAGACCTACGTATTTTTAAACATATTTGCAAGTAATGAAAATATTCTATCGTTAATATTTCGTTGTTGCAATTAGTAAATTCTTGCTTCACTTATGAAGATGAACAATGCCGGTCCAACCAAGGATTTGAGTTTCATCCTGTCTATTCAGTCAAAGTTAACCCAAGAACCTGCAACCTATCTTATATATGGTTGTTTTCTGAGTAGTTTGTTGTTAGAATAATCATTAAGGTTGGAGTATAATTTCAATGTGTCCATTTGTTTTGAAGGATAAAGTTAGTGAACAAACAGTTTCTGGCAATCGTGGACGTATCCGGAAGGCTTGTTTGATGCTCTGATGCAAGTAGTTGTCTGTGAAAAGGTTTGTTCTTGTTGTCACAAATCTTTCAGTATATATTTATGTATGTTTGATTCTATGGGAATTTTTCTTGTCGACCAGATTTATTTGAAAGCTGGGTAAAAGTAGCTCGATAAAACTTCTATTCCTTCAGACACTGTGTACTTAAGTTTTTGTTATTTGTAGGAACTTGATTGGCGAGCAAGGAAACAACCAGAAAGATGGTTCTTATTTTTACACATGCTACTTTTCATATAGCTGGTGAAGGAATAGTAAGTTCATGAGATTTTTATTTGAATGCACGTATCTATCTACTTCTTTTTATTTGAATGGCTCTTTGACAGTTTAGAAAGGTGTGCGACATTAAACCTGTGCAAGCATATCTATATCCATGCTTTGTGTATACTTCAACCAATGAAATGAATGAAAACCTTGTATATTTTGTATTCGTGTTATAATTTTGAACTTTTTAAATTTAGTTTGGCGGTGTTGCTAACTCAAATGAGGCCAGATGTTCCCTAATGCCACTGATGTTAATGGTGTCCGTTTTACAACAAATCTTTGATTTGGGTGAGTTGCTAGTTGTTATTGTATCAACTGAACTAAGATTGTAACTGAGATAACACTAGAAGATGCCAGTTACTTTGACAAAATGATGTACATTGTATATCATAACATTACGTAAGCGTTTTATAAATAGACTGTAGCAAATTACTATTTAAACTGTTACGTTTACTCTTTCGTATCATTTATGAATTATATAGACAGTGTTCATTACAACTTTGAATCGGTTAAGGAAAGCATTTACTGAAACACGTTTAAGTATTATTCATGTTGTCTGTCTATTAAAAATATGCATTGGTTTGAAAGATTGCCCTATCCTTTGATTTCTAATTCTTTTCTTTCTGAAGAGTGATATTAATGTAGAAGCGCTAGGAAAACGAGGCCTAAGACGAAACTTAGGATATTTCTGCATTGCTTATTGTTGTTTCTAGTAAAACTGACTTTTTTGCTTTTTAGCATGCTGCTAGTGTTTGTGAATCATCATATGCATTAAGGTACATACCTTTATTTATCATTTCAGGATTACCCTTCACCAAGTAAATTGTACGGAAGAATTTTGTCCTCCGGCATCCAACCCATTTTGCTGTAAGCAGTCAGCCCGATATGTAAGCAATATTTATCAGGTAATGTACTTTCACAGGAAATCGTCAGCTCTTATGCACTAAGTTTTTAGTTTATGCAATCATTTTCAACAAAATATACGTAGAACGTAATGTAAGAGAAACGAAATCGTCTCCATGACTTGAAGATAGTTTGTGTCTCCATATCTCTGAAGATAGTTTGTGTCTCCATATTCTGAAGATAGTTTGTGTCTCCAAATCTCTGAAGATAGTTTGTGCTCATATCTCTGAAGATAGTTTGTGTCTCCATTCTGAAGATAGTGTATCTTCATAACTGTGAAGATGCGTAGTGTAAAGATACTTAATAGTCAACTGACAAATGATATCATAAAATTGATGATTTACTTCAATGTATTTTTTCGGGCATTGATTTTAGGTTGAACTGTATACTTGATTTTTCGAATTTAAAAAAGCACTTTACCAAAATTTCTTCAGGCGCTCGTTAAAACTTGGGAAGACTCAGGTGCAACTTACGGAAGTTTGAGTAGTGATTCAAGAGATATTATTCAACTTATTCAAGATAGTTATGATGTAAGTAAATCTTCAAGCTTTTCTAAAAAAGTTCCAAAGGAAATCGCTATTTTTATTTCATTGCGCATGCACTGAATATCATATCCCACGTGATGTCTGCTGCATGATGCTTTGGTAAATATAAATCGTTTATCTGACACGGTATTCGCTATCGTTGATCTCTTAAACCATAAATTTTTACAATTAGAGCTTTCCAGAAACCAGACAACTTGATTTGAAGTGTTGGATTTTGAATTTTAATCCTGAAATATTATATTTATTCTTTATCAATTTAATAAATTTCATTCATCAGGATTTTTCATAAATATTGCAAGATTATTGTTTGAGTACTCGAAAAATTGATGTATAAAAATGTAACGTTGTCTGTCTGCTCTGTTCGGCCCTCACGATTTATTTTACGCATGTGGCGAAAGGGGAAATGATTGAACGAGTTTAATACAAAAAGATTTAAGCACTCCTGATACTATTTGAAGGAAACCTTGGCAGCTCACCAAAACATTTTAAAATAAACTATACAATATGAGCTGTGCCACAATGTTAATTTTTCATGGAATGCTAAATATTTTATAGAAAATTACTTCCGGGTTCAACTCAAGGCTCTCAATACTGTTGAAGGAGTTGAGGTGGAAATCAAGGTCAACTGCACGTAAGTGTCGAACGAACTCATCATTCAAATGGTTCAATGTTTTACTTCATTGTGAGATGTAGGCAATGGACATACATAGCTTTACTGCAAGCTTGTGGAAATATTCGGAAACAAAATGAATCAATTAAGCTCCATATTATTCATGTGTGTGTTCGCCATATGAAAGAATTATCGTATAAAAATGAAAGTTTCTCATAAACGTCTACAAATTAAAAACAATTGCATATAACTTCATATATCATTCTGATAAAGGCTGAAGCACCGAGTCAAAAGCTCAATAAAATAATTTTATAACAATCCAGACAACATTGTAGATCACATTATGGTAAGTCTATATCTGGCTATCCACTCTAATAGAATTTAAGAAAGTGAAAGGATATTGGAAGATAGATCAAAGCAATAGCAGAAAGCAATGACAGTCTGTGTAATTCAGTAGTATAGGAGACATTTTGAACTGGGCAATCAAAATGTAAAGATGACAGTTCGCTTTTGAAAATGTTCCAAACTTCCAATTTTATTGCTATTTCATTATTTCTCAACTTATTTTCATGTTTTATCTGAACTTGTCTTCATGTTTTGCCTTAAAATGGTCAATTGCATCATTTGACATTCCAAAAAAGCTTCCCAGATGAATATTTGTTTGTGGTAGATAAGATAGGAAGCTGAATCTTCAAATGATTTAGTCAGAAGATTGATATATCTCTAAATTGATGTGGGTTTTATTTTTATGAAATTATGAAGACCTACATCAACAACACTGGAATTTAAAAGACCTCTCAAATGTACATTTTCGGAAAAGTAACGATGAATAATTTTACATTTTCTTTATTATTCTGTTGTATTAGATCTCCTGGTACTGATGACCGATCTTGTTCAAATGTAAAACCTGGAGAAACAGTAAGACCATTTTGATGCATATTTTTGGCAGTTTTTGCTGTAGTTCATCTGAGAAGTAAAAGATTGCACCTTTTTGACGGTATTCACAAATTTCTCCGAGGTTTTCATGAGCCAGTGTGAACACGAAAAATTTCTTTTGGCTATTTCTTTTATAAAATAACACTAATGCGAAACAAACAAATTTAAAACAAACGTTTTAATTTTTCCTCTAAAATGTGTTGTAATTATTGTTTTTTTTTTCATAAATACATATAAAATAGATTTTGCTCGTTGATTACTAGTTAGTTGTTTTCGGGAATCAATAACGATTCCCAGTCCTTTTCACGAGCGATTAAAACCAGTCTGTGACAGGAAAACTAGCTTCGTGTAATCTTAAAAGAAGATTTTCATACCTGCGTTTTATTTCCGCTTTTTTTTTATGAATTTTTGATATCTCTTTAGACTTATGATTTAGTGTTCAAGACTATTTAGTATATCAAGGCCTTTCTAGGCGTTGTATTGGTAGCTGTATTGGTTGTTTATGCCAGTAATGAATGTCAATCTCTCAGCGCAAATTCTTGCTATTCTTTGCATATGTAGCTATGACACTCTTTTTGCTATTTTAGGTGGAATTTTCAGTAACTGCTACTGTTACCTCATGTGAAAAACATGGAAATTCGACCAGGTATGTGATATTATAGATATATGTGTACCCATATGTAGGCTAAAGTGTAAGATATCTCTATGTAATAAAAGTGTTAATATCACAACAAGTAGACCAAAATTAAGAGAATTTATCAACGTACCTTGAAATTACGAAACATCTTTACTTTAAGCATAGAAACATTCGATAATGGCGTAGCCAGCGTGCAAGTTTGGTCGTACTATGTAAATGTTGTCAATTTTGTAGCAGTTTCATTATGTGTATCTCTAGAAATATACTGTTTTTATATTTAGTGTAATTTTACGAAGCTGTATATCAAACATACTGGCTGACTCACTACACCATAAATATGCATGTATAATATGTATAATTTCAGTTTATCATATATCATTTGACAGTTTCCTGATAAACGCAGCTGGATTTGGAAGTATTCAGGTGGATCTCGAAGTTATTTGCAGATGCGATTGTGAGGACATTAAGGTCAGCAAAGATTTAAGTAATACTTCATGTTCTTATAAGGACGTCGCTTTTTTATGCAATTTTTATTTCGCATATGTCTAAGTACATTAAAAACAGTCTATTAAAGTTCTGTCATGGTGTAAGTAATTTCACACATCAAACGGCATTAATTTTATCATGAAGAATATGCTAATTTGGGGGATATAGACAATGTCATTAGCATTGAATGTGGATTAGTGACGCCATACGTCATCGTAATTATGCTATTTGCATATCCTACATAAGTTCTGATTTGTTGGTTTGAGGTCATTCTTCAATGTGACGCGCTAGAGGCTTGTCAAGGCTCATTTCAGAGGAAATCAGACCATACGAAAGAGCTCAAAATCAAGAGAAGCATCGTGACGCGCTAGAGGCTTGTCAAGGCTTTATTACAAAAAAATGCCAAAAATTCAGAGCAAAGTCAGAATCAAGAGAAGGAGTCCTCCCAAATGTAGGAGATGCCGAAATCACGGAATATTCGTAAATGTTAAAGGGAATAAACAAAACTGTGTTTATAAACATTGCAAGTGCAATTTATGTATGAATACTGAAAAAGAAAGACGTCAGACGGCTGCAAGAATAGCAATATATAGAAAAGGCAAACGTTTGTTCGAATCAGATGGTATGTTGAACAACAATCTATACTTTCTTGTTCAATGTTAAATTAATACAATATTTGATTTTCCCAATAATTCCTACACTAATCATACTGTGTGCGTTGCATCTGGAGGAAAAAATAATAGGCTGAAAAGACAGCTATAGTTGATCCATTTGCATTGAGTCAATACATTACAAATGAACTGAATCACTATTTTCACATTATTTCTTCAAGTTCGATAGTAGAATCGTTTTTACAAGGCCACCGTTTCGGTCTATAAATTGAGACACGCTTGAAAGCTTACATCTGAATGCTTTTGAATGGGAGTGTTATTCTAACCGATCAAAATTATATAATTATGTGTTCACATTATATGATCACTTATGATTTTGCGCGACGTATAGTTTGGGTCCAAATATGTATAACATTTTGCAACTGTATAAACCATATTGTACTGGTTAATACACCGTTTGTATAAGCCAATGGTACCCATTACTGAACGTAAGACATTACATTTATATGTTTCTACGAGACCACGCTATCAAACAAAGAACTGAAACAATTTAAAGTTGATGACAAATTTTCTTCTTGACAATTTTAACGTTGGCAAGCGTAATTTTATCTTTATTTTAACAACTTTTACTCAATTTTATCTTAAACACGGTGCACTGCAATCACTGTATAGAATGTCGAACTTTGAAATGAGCCAGAATATCACCAGTTGTAGAACTACGTTTTCCTGTATGTTTTATAAATACTAAGAGCTCTAATGCATGAGTTTTCTGAAACGACTTTTTATGTTGGAATATAATTCATTATACAACATAACCAAACCGGCTTCAGTTTTATAAAAGTATTATAACCTCTAATTTGAAAATTAAAATACCTTTATAACAAAAGTCATTGATTATGAATTTCTGAAGATAAACATCAAGAAATGCATGTATGCTGATGAAAATAGTTAAATGACAATACTGTGCCAGCAATCGCATAAAGCGCTATTATTCATAAACTGCTTTCACAGTAATGATTACTAGACGAGAAAATCTTCTTTCTTATGAACAAAAATCGAATTCAATAGCGTTAACTTTTTGGTAAGGTATATCTTAAACAGGACTAGGGCATTGAAGAAAAGAATGTAAAACCTAAACTACTACATATTTGACTCTGCAAAATTCTATAGTTACGTGTAATAGAAAATGAAACGCTACCTGTAATAGAAAATTCTAAAATTTTTTCAAGCGATATTACACCAAGACAAGCGTATGTAAGGCTGTTGCGGTATATATCAAAAAAATATCGATATTTATCGATATACGTTTTTTTCCGATATTTTTGTTGTTATTTATAGTATTGTTGGGGATGACACATATAGGTAGATCAAATTGAAACTTAGCCAACAATTGCTGCGCACGCGTGAATGAGTCAAGAATGTCTAATGATATAAAAACCATTTAATAGTTTCATCAATTAAAGCATACAGTATATCGACATTTATCGATATACGTTTTTGTCCGATGTTTTGTTTGTTATTTATAGTATTGTTGGTATGACAATATAGGTAGATCAAATTGAAACTTAGCCAACAATTGCTGCGCACGTGTGATTGAGTCAAGATTGTCTTTAATGATATACAAAACGATTTAATAGTTTCATCAATTTAAAGCATACAGTCACAGAATAGATACATACAGAAGCGCCACTCAATGTTGAAAGCTTTGATGTTCGTGTCCTTGTTTTAACTAATTCTTTATTTTGAATTTTTTGGCACTTTAAAGTGCTCCTACAAAAGTGCTCTGGTATAGAAAATGTTTGGCTTGTATTTTATGACTTACCGATAATATCAGGCAAGTCTGGCCTGGCTAATGAATACAATGAAATATTCGATACTTGCAATGACTCAACGTTCAATGATCAAACCTCTCATTTATTCGTAATTGGCACAAAATCAACGGATTAAGTTAATTAAGGTCTTATCAAAGGTTATTGACAATATAGTTGCAACAAAACTATAGTTGAACATTATTGTCTCTCTCAATATTATCTATCTGTATCAATGTAGAAAGTGATTGTGTTAACTTTGCAAATTTTGTCACTACGTGTAAGACTGTTAGCATATGCCTGCGAGTTTGACAAAATTGGGATGCGTAAAACAAACAATCACGTGACAGAAAAATAATTTGCAGTTTGTGATTTTATCTTTTATAGATGAAATGCAGGAGCCACGTGGAGAAAAAGGAAAAATCATAAAGCAAAGGGCAAAACCAATTTCTAAAGGCAAATCCACCCACAAAGTGTTAGCTGATTTGCAATCCAAAATCATCCAAAATGGGCAAAATCCAAAACCAATTCCGTCAAGTATCCAGCTGCTCGTAAAAATATTCCCCAACATTTTTCCTGAAAGACTCGAAATGTACCTTCAACGTAACAATGGCGACCTCATGTACACTATCAAGTACATCAAGGGTCTAATTAAAGATGCTGCATTACTTCCACAATCATCAAGAAGCTCTCCACTCACCAATACCAGTTTTTTCAACAACCCGCACCACTATCAAAGGCATCCAACACAACCAACATACCAAATTTTCCCACCTTTCACAACACCTATTTCATCCCACTTCCCTTCGAGCCCCTAAATTTACTCGTGTAAGAGTTATCACTTCCATCCACGACGAAAAAATGAAATGGAAATAAAGGAAAGGCGAAGGAAACGATACATGAATAAAGAAAATGGAAGTTCACGGTGAAGCAGGAAACGGCATAGTTGACATTGAATAACTTTTCTAAGACTATATAACATTTAGAAAATAACGATTACTTTGCACGCAAAATTTTATTTTATTTATATACGGGAATTATACTTTATTTATGCATGGAAAACAAAAGTTTATTTTTCGATATAGTCTAGGTTCTCTACGGTATAATATTGTTAATGCATGTATTTAGATAAACTAATAACAAGTAATAAGTCACTTATAGACCAATTTTAAAAACTATTGAAAACATTTTCAATGTTTTTATTTACCACATATTTATTTCTTGTTGTAAATTTTATTAATTATTTTATTGCAATATATTATCAAACTATATCAGCACAATTTTGCATTTGTTCTTGTCAGTCATAAAAAGTGAGAGCAATAAACGTAAACAGACTTGTTCTGCATGATTTTCCACCAACTGTAAGCATTCCTTCAGTACTGCTTTTACTCTACTTATGAATCATACTCGTCCAAATGGATACAGAGAAGAACACAAAGTATGAAATATCTTTTTCTCAACTGATGTATTTTGTTGATATCGCAGTAGTTTCTCAAACACGCACCATAGGAAAACACTTACTTACCAACACGTCAGCGGCCTTTATGTAGAGTTTTGGACAAAAATTATCTCATCCAAATTCCGAACCGTTAAATGAAACTCTCATCAATATAACCAAAACGATACAATAATGAATCTTATTTTGTGCTAACTGAATCATGTCATACAGTAAAGTCCTAAATAAGACAATTACAAATCACCAATCATGTATATATCATGTCTACGAGTTTGAATATAAAAATAAGAAGTTGCAAAGACTTTGAAACAAAATAATAAACATCGCTTATGCACTTAAGTCACGGTAAGCATCAAGTAAAATTCTATTTCTTTCTTCCAAATATGACATTATAACGTGTGAAGTGTCACCAGAAGCTATAAGTTAAAACATACATATTAAAAAACATCACTGTATTTGCCTCGGATTGCTTTCGAGTTCACCCAAAGATCTCCTCGTCTTGCATAAGGCCTTGCAAACACAGTAAACAACTTTTATTTCTTAACTTGAGATAAAACACGATAGTTATAATTAGCAAGGACGAAAATTAACGAATGTCTCACTAAATTCATAAAAAAGAAATTTTGTTTTTCTTACACATGAAGTTCAAAAAACCATCTATGAATAAAAGTTGCTGTTGTAAAAAGCTGATGACATGAGCCCAGTCAATATAGGTTGGTTGGATTCTGTAATATACAACTGAGCTATTTTCTTTTTACCTTTATATATTTCTACATATAGTGAGAAAATGGAGAAACGTTCAAGCGAATTTGTTAAATCATAAACATTTGCTCGTTTTCAATTTGCCTAAATCGTCCAACGCCTAATTTTAGTCCATCTTAGCTGTGTTCAAAATCATAAACTTAAACATGGAAATTTTATGTTTTTAATTTAGACCATCTATACTGTGAAAAACCGTACGATCGACTGTTCAAATGCACAGTAGTCAGAACTTATGAAGCAGTGAGTTTTGCCACCAGTTTCAACTTTAAATACATTCATTATCGTTGATACTATGAGTTACAAAGTCAAAACCAACTGGGAAAGACATAGGTGTGTAATGAACACAAATGTCATCAATAGACTGAACTTAGAGGGAGGAATAGATATTCGACTTAAAGTCTAACAAATAGGCCCCGTAATTAGTCTGCCATTGAAGTTTCTTTGCCCCCCCCCTCTTTATCATCTATCATCTTACGTCCATGCCCTTGTGTGAAACAAAATGACTTCAAAAAACTTTTTTAAAGTAATCACTAATCATACTGGAATATTTGCGTAAGAAAATCGCGCTTTTAAATTGAGAAATTGACAGTATTTACATTGTGTTTTGAAGTTCTGATAATTAGAACGCAGATTTCAAAAGTAAACATTCACAATGTTAAATTAAGATTCTTGCACAATACAATTATATACAAATTCCGAAGCCAGACTAGCCAGATTAATGGCCACCGTCGAATTTCTAGCATGCGCAATGAGACATGCGAGGACACTGATTTCTAAGGCTCCGACACTAAGTTGGACTTCATTTCCTTTTCTGTGGTATCAACATTAACATGAAAATTGTAATGCTTAATATGTTAAAAAGAATACAAAGCAATAGTATCAATAGTAGAAGCCAACTCACACGCCAGATTATAAACGTGAATACAGCCTTTGACTAGTTCGCCGTACCACAGATTCTGTAATACAAATATTTGTGTACACCTACAGCAAAATAAGTCAATTTATAAAGAAAGAAAGGATAATAAAGATAGTTTCGGTATTAATAATCTCTAGGCAAATTTGAGGCCATGCAGCTAAGTTTTTGTTGAAGATAACAGATTTTACTCAAATAAATTATAGCACAATAGTATTCTTTCAAATATAGGCAACACTTTTCAATTTTTTAAACATTTCGTCCACAAACAACATCAAACATTTCCTCCAAGACAAAGTGCGCGAAATGAACCATCAAACATTTCCTCCAAGACAAAGTGCGCGAATAATAAAACATTTCAACTTGCCTTGAACAGAAAATAGCAAGAAGAAAAACAAGCGCCATGTCTTTTTTCAATATTTCCACGCAAAACAGGAACAACAAATTATCATTCAACTTAATCGATAAAAAACACCAAAATATCATGAAATAAAGTTCACCAATTTGATATATCACATTTAGCTACATTCAGTTTAAGAGTAAACTTGTCTTTGAGCCACTCAAGCAACAAATTATCAAATAGTTTTTGTCATTTGTGTACAATACAAGCGTACGCATGGCAGATTAACTTTGTGTTACCCATTCAACATAGCAATGTTGAATTGATGCAAATCACTTCCTTTTCATATTAATTTTGGGGTTATAGACCATGTCATTAGCTATTAATGAATGTGGGCTGCTGACGCCACAACGTCATCATACTTACGCTAATTTGCCCATGCTATATAAGTTCTGATTTCTTCGTTTGTGGTCATTCTTCATCGTGACGCGCTAGAGGCTTGTCAAGGTTTTCTTACAAAAAATGCCAAAGAATCAGAAGAAATCAGTCTATAAGAAAGACCTCAAAATCAAGAAAAAGAGTCCACCAAAGTGTAGGAAATGCCAAAATCATGGAATATCCGTTAATGTTAAAGGACATAAACGAGACTGTGCTTATATAGATTGCCCTTGCGATTTATGTAAGAATACTGAAGAAGTAAGGCGATTCACAAGGGAAAGGATTAAACAATATAGAGCGCGCAAACGTTTACTCCAATCAAATGGTATGTTGTACAACAATCTATACTTTCTTGTTCAATGTTTAACTGATACAATATTTGATTTTCCCAATAATTCCTACACTATATGCGATGTTTGTTTGGTGAAAGGATAAAAATCATTTCGTCCAACTAAACAAGTTTTATTTTCTTATGCTCAATTTTCTAAAGCGATCTTAGCTAGCAAACTGTTTTTCACACATCCTTACGATAAACAAAATCTTTCAAAACTATTTGTGTGAAAAATGAGCTGACTCACTTGAATGGCATTATCGTCTAGAAAAATGAAACATGTGTTAGAAGCATTAGCTACGACATAATCCTGGGTCGAGAAAGATTTTATTCCAGAATGAGAAATATTTCATTCAAAATCATACGAAAGTATGATTCATACGAAAGTATGTTCTCTTCTGTCATGGTGTAAGTAATTTGACACATCAACCAGCATTAATTTTATCATGAATAATATGCTAATTTTAACGATATAGACAATGCATTAGCCAATGAAATAGACAATAAAATGCTGCTGACGCCAATACGTCATAGTACTTACACTATTTGCATATCATTCATAAGTTTTGATTTGTTCGTTTGTATTCATTCTTTATCGTGACGCGCTAGAGGCTTATCAAAGCTTTATTACAAAAGTAATGATTAGTAACGAAAGTCATTTACGTTGTTCTTTCTGTCATTGACGTAACCTGTTCTGAACAAATGCCAGCGCTATAGAAAATTACCATTCTTCATTTCTATAGAACTTTTATCATTTTGAATTGCGTAAAACCAAAAATATTTTCAATGTTATAACAACCACCACTTCGGCAATAAGAAGCACTTTTAGTTGCAATTTTCGTTTACCGCGTGGTAGAAACATCGCGCCCGTCGGAGAAATGTTTCCGCTGATTCGTACTGTGTACTTTGAAGCAATTCAAAGTTGATAAAAATTTTCTCGTTTGATCATATTAATGTTGGCAAAGAAAATATTATAATTGTTTCCACAACTTTTACACAAATTTTACAAATTTAAACACTGTGATTGAGGAAGGAACGCATGCGCATTTTCTTAACGTGTTGAGATAATAGTTCAGCACGCGCGCGCACTTGGAGCCAATGTTCACTCGTGCACCATTTTATTCATCATGTTGAATATTCGGCACCGATGGCGCGCGAAGCGAATGTTGCTCAAAACTTGACCGCACACTTGAGGAAAAGGCGTGCTGCAACAGTCACGAGTAACTCTTAGCTCAGCCGATGGCGCTAGTGTGCGCCAGGCTTTAAACACTGTGCACTGCAAACACTGTATAGTATGTCGTTGTTGAAATGGAGTCAGAATATTACCAATTAAAGAACTACGTTTTCATAGATAATTCTATAAATACTTAGAGCTCTAATGAGTATTCTACATGACTTTAATTGATGGAATATGTTTCATCATACAACATAAGAAACCGGCTTCAGTATTGAGCCAAAAAAATTATAACCACTAGTTTGACAATTAAAATACGTTCATAGCAAAGTTATTGGTTTTCAATTTCTAAAGATAAAAATCAACTAAGGCATTGAAGACAAGAACCTAAAACAAAATCTACCACATGTCTGACTCTCCAAAATTCTATAGTTCCGTGTAAGGCAAGCTGCCATCTTAAAAAAGCAAAACCGTTAAATTAAAATACATGGAACGCTACCTGTAATAGAAAAGTCTGTTAATTTTTTCAAGCGAAATTACACTCGGGATTACACCAACACAAGGTGTGTTAGGCTGTTGCAGTATTAAGAAAATAACTGATATCGATTTAAATCAAACAAATATCGATATTTATCGATATATCGATATTTTTTCGGATATTTTTTCCTTATTAATAGTGCTGTTGGCGATGACACATAGCTAGATCAAGTTGAAACTTAGCCAATAATCGCAGTGCACGTGTGATTGAGTGAAGATTTTTTTAATAGTATACAAAACCAATTAATAGTTTTATCAATAAACGCATACAATTGTAATCTAGCTATGTATCTTAGTTGAGTTAGTTCCCTACTAACGCCACTCATAACAGATGACCACTCCACTAAAAACTATTTATAGCAACTAAATATATCGAACGCCGTGTATTTCGGTATAC